AGTTTACATTAAATGCCTCAAGGAAGGGAAATTTCCTCGGGAATGGAAACAACAACGACTGGTTCTACTCCCGAAAGGAAAGAAGCCACCAGAATAGCCGTCATCTTACCGTCCACTTTGTATGCTGGAGACAGCCGGTAAGATATTCGAACGCATAATTCATCAGAGAATAGAAGCAGTTGTGGATCCACTCCTGGCAAACAACTAGTATGGATTCCGAAAAGGACGATCAATCCTGGACGCGATCAATCTGGTTGTTACTATGGCCCAGTAGGCAATTGCAGGAACCAGATGGAAGAGTGGTACGCAGAAGTACTGCCTGTTGGCGACGTTATACATCAAAAACGCCTTCAACTCTGCTATCTGGGACTGCATTATGCAAGCTCTTTAAGAGAAGAACGTGCCAGGATACCTACATAAAATAGTAGCTAGCTACTTCACGGATAGAGTCCTGAGATATGACACAAAGGACGATCCGAAAGAGTACGAAATCACCGGAGGTGTTCCGCAGGGCTCTGTTCTTGGCCCACTGCTGTGGAATATCATGTATGACGGGCTCCTAAGGCTAAAGATCCAGAGGAATGTTAAACTTGTAGCGTATGCGGACGACGTGGCCGTAGTGATTGTCGCGAAACACCTGGACGAGATTCACCACATGTTTGATCTAGCATTCCAGCAAGTTAACCAGTGGATGGACACAATGAATCTTCAACTGGCGAAACATAAGACTGAGGCAGTGCTTATCACCAGCAGAAAAGCGTTAGACACCATCAAGCTTAAAGTCGGCGAACAAGAAATCACATCACAACCTTATATCCGATATTTGGGAGTGATGCTTGATGCCCGTCTCAACTTTAAACAGCAAGTGGAACACGTCAGTGCCAAAGCGTCAGTAGTAGGGGCAAGTCTCGCACGATCGATGCCTAACGTCGGAGGGCCAAAGCAGAGTAGAAGACTATTGTTGACAACTGTAGTCACATCAGTGCTTACGTACGGAATATCGATTTGGGCTGATGCGCTAGAATTACAAGAAGCATGGAGAAAGGCTGGACCAGTATATCGTCTGAGTGCCCTAAGAGTAGCTTGCGCCTTCCGCACAATATCTGAGGAAGCAGTGTGCGTCATTTCTGGAACTCTATCTCTCAAAGTCTTAGCTGAAGAAAGACGGAACCTTTACCAACGAAAGAGGTCAACAACACTGAGCGCAGAAGAACTCAGAACGGAACAAAGACAGCATATTATCGCACGATGGCAATCTCAGTGGGATGCCGCAGAGAAGGGTAGATGGACGCATCGTCTCATACCAAAGATCGACAGAAATGATCGAAATTAGATAAGTTGGAGAACAGGGTAAAAGTTATTAAATCTCAGTTACAGAATATACTTCTAGCAAGTGTATTTATTAGATGTCTTGAAATAAATAATAGCCGATTTAGACTGCACTTCAATAAAATCAAGATTGGCAATATAAAAAAGATCAACAGTCTATGTAAGAATAATCAAGAGATAATTACTGCAGGACAACAGCACAAGGTTTTGTATAATTTTTCTGATGTACAGTTACCGGAATATTGAGAGAGGATTCTTAACATGGCTCCTTAAGTAGATATTCCGTTAACTTAGAATGAAATAGTCATCCCTACGCTAATAAAGGATGTGGAATATGGTATTTCGAGATTAAAAAGTGATGACTCAGACCCAAAGGTTACAGACAACATCAGGAACAATTATAAATTAAGAGTAATTAATTCTATTACGAATTTTTTTAGCAGAAATAATAAGCCGATTAATGATAACTGGCACAGCTTGTTAAAAGATCTAACGAAGACTAAACGGTTTCTGAAGGATAATCAGGACATAGTGGTTATGAGAGCAGATAAGAGCGGAAGCAAAGTTTGGCTAATGAGCTGGTTAATAAATTAGAGAGAGATGGTACTATAGATAATGTAAGAGCTAAAACATTGAAAACTCACAACGCGGTTTCTCCAAAGATTTATGGGCTACGCTAAGTTCATAAAGATGGATGCAAACTCAGACCAGTGGTAAGATGTATTGAGGGGCTGAATTATAAACTAGGCCGATTTATACATCAAGTACTATCTCCACTGGTTGGTCCGAATCATATCAATGTCAAGGACTCAACGGAATTTGTTAACTTCACACGCGAGGTTACATTACCTGAGAACTACATCTTAATATCACTGGACGTAGTCTCATTATTTACGAATGTACCAAAAAAGTTGGTGAATAAAATCATTGATGAGAAATGGGAGTCCTTATCTGAGGTGGTGAGAATGAATAAGGAATTGTTTGTTAAATAAATGAACAGTTGTTGTGACCTGGGATATTTCAGTTTTGAGAAAAATTTTTATCTTCAACTTGATGGTACCAGCATGGGGGGACCAGCAAGTCCGGCGCTTACGAACTTTGTAATGCAGTATGTAATTGAAAAAGTCTCTGAACTACTTTCTTTTGAAATAAGATGCATGAAATTGTTTGTTGATGACATGTTTATGGCAATTCCTAGAGGAGAAGTTAGAAATGTTCTTAACTATTTTAATAGCATTGATGAAAGGATTCAGTTTACAATGGAGACTGAAGTCGATTGCTGTCTTCCGTTCCTAGATGTGATGGTGAGAAGAAACATAGACGGGAGTCTAAAGACGAATTGGTACACGAAACCCACTAGTTCCGGACAGCTGTTGGATTTTCTATCGAATCATCCTGTATCGCAAAAAATATCAGTTGCCTTGGGCTTACTACGTCGAGCAATCAATCTTAGCCATGAAGACTATCATGCTGACAATTTAGAACGGGTGAGAGAAATACTTCTGAATAACAACTATCCAGGGGGGTTTGTGAATTTGTGTATAGAAAGGTTTAAACAAAATCAAAATAGAGTCAGGGCTGCTGAAAGTAAATACTACTTCGAATTTCCGTACATCAGAGGATTATCGTCGCACATCTCGAGAGTCTTTATTGGCACTAAATGGAGACCAGAAACTACAACATCAAAATTATTGGCAGTATGTATACCAAGTTGAAAGACACGGTAGATAAAGTCGTCATATCTGCACTTATATATGCTATCCCGTGTGAATGTGGGAAAAAATATATAGGCCAGACTAAACAATGGCTGAAGAATAAAGTTAATCAACATCGACTTGATTGTCGATCGATTAACTATTTAAAAAATGGCCATTCGGCAGCCGAAATGGGAGTAGATTTTATGATGAATAGAGAAAAAAACTACTAGGATAGTATATAAAAAAAAAAAAACTAAAACGGCTGCAACAGTAAAACTGTTTCATTAAACGAACTCTAAAAGGAGTAATATTTAGGCTATTTCACTTCTGAGTAGTGAAAATTGAAGCTTATTAAAAGAGCTTTACGAAGCATTTTACAGAATTTTGATATCTTGTATACTTCAGTAATTATACCAAGTTGAAGAAGTAAAAACATCAATTATTACGATTTTCAAAATTTCGAAATCCTGTCATTTCCAACTTACTCGCCCAATTAAGCTCATCTTCGAACTTAACCTTGGTCTTGATCGATAGATAAAGGATGTTGAGTTTGAAAAGAATCGGTGTTACGTCCTGGGACGCCACAAATTTCTTCGACTGCTTGTTTGTACGGTCAGACAACTGAATGCCATTACCCTGGGAGTGGCAGTCACACTTCTTGACAGATCTCTTTGATTTGGACCTTATTGATTAATTAACTCTACAAGGATGACCATCAGAACCGGTTGGAAAAAGGAAAAGAGGAGAAATGAAATATATCTTAAAAGAAATTAATAATTTACTTACGATTTAAATGTATTAATAGATGTTTTATTAGTAACTGATACACACAAGATGTTGTTACTGAGTGCGTGTCTATTGGGTCGTTACGGTTAGAATTGATCGATGAATTATGAGTTGACCTTGAAGTTGTTGGCGCAGCTAACTCGACGTTGATGAAGGTGTTGAATGTGGATGGCTCTCTGGAGTTCGCTAAGTTGATTGTCAACCTCAATGCTTGGTTGAACAGCGATGGAGCTCGATTTTATTTGAACACCGTTTTTTTGAATTTATATTTATTTTAGGAAAACTTCGGATGTACTGACTTAAACTGAACTGAATTGAAAAGAGGTTTCTCGAATTTAAAATAATTAATAATCGTACTGTTGGAAGAGAGGTTCCTCGTTGATTAAATATTCAGAAATTCTTCTGACTGGTGACTGTGCTGACCGACAGAGGTTCACCGTTAATTAAAAGTGTTCTGGAGTAACTGCCGATAATTGACTGCTGACGGGCTGACTATTATTACTGACTGCCCGTGGCGCTTGCCTTTTTATACTAATGCGAATGGGTGAACTAAGCGGTGGCGCGATACCTTTGAACTAGGGTGGTGACTACCATCCCTTGTTTTCTTAGAATTCCGTGACTGTGTTGGTCTTCGTAGGTGTAGACTTTTAATATTGTAAATCTGTTGGATATTCCTTATTTTCATGTGATCCTGATTCTATGTCTGAGAATATTATTACAAGGCATAGGCTTGATAGCTGTGCGTCCACCAGGTTTTTGGATTAGTGTTGAAGGCTTTCTGAGAATCCCGTTAGTGTATTTGGCTTGTATATGAGAGACCTTTAACACAATAGGTCTGCTGGACATAAACACGGTTAATACACATTGAATGACGAATATTCATTGGTTAATCCTTATAAGGGTATGAACTCGGTGTTTACGCTTCTTTTTCTCCTGGAGTCCTAATTCTCACGCGTGTGAATACCTGGCGACGAGACGCACCCCTAGGTTTGGAGTGAACCGTCTGTGTTTTCTGTTCTCCTGTTCTTAAATGTCGCTTCGTTCGGTGTCTATTCCTTCATTGGCACTCCTCAATCGATATCATGTCCTCTTCTTCTTTTATTTCATTATATCCTGATCCTTCTAGTCCAGTTTTCTTCCAGTAGAAATATTTTTTTATTACTTATTAAATTTACCAAAATTTCTAACCGTAACATAGTCCTAAAGTCGACTATCAACTTACTTATATTAAATTAGAAAATTTAATTTTTGAACGATTTGCGACGAGAAAGGTCGATTTTGTAACTACAGTCCTATGGTTTCGTAAGCTTAGGAATAGTCCATATAGCTTGTATTTGGAGTCCTGAAGTCGACTAATTTTCGACATTGATTTCCGTAAATTACGAGGTGTCATTTTAAAACGTTTTACGGAAAGAACGCTTAATTTTTGAAATACGTCCCTATGGGTTTCACTAATTCGGAAATGGACTAGATTTCTTGATTTTGTGGGGGTCATGTCTTCCACCCACTCCCGGATAATTTAATTATTATTATTTATAATTATTATTATTTATGATTATTAGTATTGAATTATATATAATTAGTTAATTATCATTATTCATAATTATTAATATTATTTAATTATCATTATTTATAATTATTAATATTATTTAATTATCATTATTTATAATTATTAATATTATTTAATTATCATTATTTATAATTATTAATATTATTTAATTATCATTATTTATAATTATTAATATTATTTAATTATCATTATTTATAATTATTAATATTATTTAATTATCATTATTTATAATTATTAATATTATTTAATTATCATTATTTATAATTATTAATATTATTTAATTATCATTATTTATAATTATTAATATTATTTAATTATCATTATTTATAATTATTAATATTATTTAATTATCATTATTTATAATTATTAATATTATTTAATTATCATTATTTATAATTATTAATATTATTTAATTATCATTATTTATAATTATTAATATTATTTAATTATCATTATTTATAATTATTAATATTATTTAATTATCATTATTTATAATTATTAATATTATTTAATTATCATTATTTATAATTATTAATATTATTTAATTATCATTATTTATAATTATTAATATTATTTAATTATCATTATTTATAATTATTAATATTATTTAATTATCATTATTTATAATTATTAATATTATTTAATTATCATTATTTATAATTATTAATATTATTTAATTATTATTGTATGACTCGATTATTATCGTTTATGTTTATTAATATTATTTAATTTTATTATTTATTAATAATAGTTAAATAATATAGTTATTATTTAAGTTGAAGTTTTTCTACAACGACATTAAGGATTATGTTAGAAAAGCTTAGTTGTGTCGCATCACCATAAATTATACTAGATTATAATTTACTTGGTGATGCCAAACAACTGATAAAGTCTCGTCCGCTGCAAAAGTATTTTTTGGGAAATTTTATTTTATTGTAATTGTATTGCAAGTAATAAAATTCACAGTTGCAGCTGACGAGACCCTAATAAAATTTATTCTAATAGGATTAAAAATATGTAAAATTAGTCGGTAGGAAGATTAAGGGTTTTTCCCAAATATTTCTACAAAATATTCTCAATAGCATACATTTTTCTAAAGAGCAATTAAGGGATTAAAAACTTTTGTCGCCTGGCCAGCGACCGGACCCAAGATCTCACTAAGTGCTCTCTCTCTCTCTCTCTCTCTCTCGACCTATACCTGTATGTCTATCTATTTCTTATAACTACAATATCTCTACTTTTCCATAATTTGTATATACCTAGAGCATTTATCCTGTACATGTACCTACGTATATGAATTCTATAATTTGTATCTACCTAGAGTATATCACGTTTTCATACTTACATACAACTAAGTACTCCTACCCTTAATATATTTCCTCGATACTTCCATCGAGTACCCCCTACCCCTTGGGAGGTCGGGGCCCTAGATGGACACTTAAAAATTATCAGTAAGGTTCGACACAGGGACCCATAAGCTTCGTATCGCCTGATTCTAGCTTCACTTCGTTTAAGTACACGCGTGTATTAGTAGTTGAATTTATTTAAATAAATATTATAATTGAATATCTTCGTTTACTTCACAAAAATAACTCAACGCCCTAACATCCCAAAAAT